AAGAAAAAAAATACAAATAGAAAATTGGTTGAAACGTACCGCTCATAACGGTGACGGCCATGAGTTCGATTCCCGTATGTAGCCGGCGTGGCAGTATGGCGTGCCAAAGTAGGGTTTGTGTAGAAATGGGGGTCGGGGAAGTAGGGGAGCCCAAACCACTTTGTCCACCGCTCTCTCTTCTCTTGCGGACCCGCTTTGACCCAGCCACCAAGTAAGTCGAAAGACCTCGTTCCCAGCTGCTTTGCCTTCAAACCATCGGGGTTGCAGCTAGTATTGATAGTTCCTTGTCCTCAAGCTCGTCAGGAAGGAACGAGCAGTGTTTGCGAAATGTTAGCGATAATAGAAGGAGTCCTATTCAAATTCTTGTTTCATGGTTGTTGGAGGTATTGGTCCTACCAAGGCCTCCCTTCCACTTATTATGTTAAAGCCTGCACAAAAACCTTGAGCAGAGTGTATCTCCTCCTTCTTTCCTTAGTGTGAGAGTTCTTTGTGGAGTGTGAGTGAGAGGAAAACATGGTGAGATGGAGTGGCCTATCCTAGTGTGGTGTGTGTGAGTATAGTTAAAGGGTTGGAGACCTGAGCCGGAAAGAAATCGACTCCCAACAATGGTCACACACCGAATTCTAAATCTGGCTGCAAATAAACTTTTCCACTCAATAAAAAAAAAAGAGTCAATATAGGGCGGCAAAGCAAATAAGGGTTTAGAAGTACTGGAATGTGACAAATAAACTGCCTGACGCTAGACTGAACACACTATATAAAGAAACAAATAGTTTTACCCCCCTCCCTATCCTTTAATGATGATTAAATAACTTCTAATCTATATTTAGAGAAAACTATAGATATAATTTCATTATTTTTCGTTAGGTCCGCTTTTAATACTGTAATTTTATTCAATCACAAATTTGATCTGGTAATTAATAAATTTGTCCATATTAATGACATTTTTATTGGAAGTCGAACAAATCTGACCCCACTCTAGGTAGTTCGTTTTATACCTTTGAATTTGTAAAGTGACTAAATATACTCAACTGGCATGGAAATGAACAAAATAAGCTAATTTTGTCAACAACTAAAACAAATCAACTTAATTGAACCAAACCGACTCAAAAGTGATGTTGACTACTCGGTTTTACCATTAAAGATTGAATGCAAGAAAATTCCCATTTTGCACTCTAGAAACTTTTTTATCACTGAAAATGAGAGCATTATAGGTATAATATAACTTGTAATTTTGTAACACCGTCCCCAAACATATTTACTTTTATGTAAATAATGTATTGAACCTTACTAAGGGATTAATGAATTTACGAAGTTGTAAATTTTTATTATTTCTTTCGCGTGAATAGTAAATTGCACGTGGGACCCACACCGGGAGCGGAGGCCGCCCGACATTCCCGAGACCACATATTTTATTCATCTTGGTCTAGATAATAAATATATAGTGGTGGATATTTCATTTGGGCCATGGAAAGGCCCAGAGTTGACCGATCGATCAATAGAAGCCCAAATTACCGGTACTGGTAAATTAACGAATAACGGCCCGAACTGAATTTCGGAGACTTATAAATTAAAGTTGGGGAATGTATATTCATTATACATGTCATAATGAGTAAGAGCACATAATATATTTTATTTGACCCGATAAAATAAAATATATTTAAAACAGTCCGAAAAATACAACTTTCGGGACCGATTGTACACACCGGGACACAAAGGGATGACCTCCCACATGAGTGGGGGCCACCCCACGTTTTTTTGTGGGCTGTGAGAGGAGGGGAGGCTGGCTGATTGGAGAGGAGGGGTGTGGGAGTGGTTGACTTGAGGGGATTGGCATCAAAAGGACACATGGGGGGTCCTTGCCATGTTATCATGGTGGAATAAGCCAAAAGTTGGCATTTCCTCTCACCCCCACCCTCATTTTCGGCCAAGGCTCATCAAGAGGAGAGGAAACCCCCTGCAAAATACATCCTCCATATCCAAGAACAAAGCCCAAGCAATAGGAGTCCAAGGAGGAAGATTATAGAAGAAAAAAGGCTAGGAAAAGGTGTGAAAACTAAGGTAAGAACCTTATCATAACTTTTTCTTTATTTTTCTCCTACCATATGAGATACATATCATGTGAAGGATCCTCAAGAGGGTTCTACATGTTATAAGTATGGATTAATGGGTTGGAAAGTGATTCTATGTCCAAGAACGGACTTAGAAGCCAAAACGACCGGTTCACCGGAAAATAACCTTTTTGAGGTTATTTGTATTAACATGGGTTTTATGATTATAAAACCTTGTTAGGAACTTGTAAAGGGTATTTCATGTGATTTCACAAGGTTGGAAAAGTCGCCGGAGTAGTCGCCGGAGTTGACCAAAAGTCGCCGGAGTTTCACCGGAGTTCAACCAAGAAGAGTAGAACTTCATAACGCTAGTTCAAGGTGAGTGGACGGCTTAATATCTTATAACTTTTGGGTTAATTATGAGATTACCTAAATAAATGTTATATGTTTTCAGAATGATGTTTAAAAGATAATTAAACATGTGATTAGCCAACATTATCAAGTTGTATGAAAAGAATTAATTGATTATGCATGAAATATGATATGAGAGATTATATAAAATGCACATTAGCTTGAAGTGTAAAAGAAGCTCAAATGAGTATTATTGACTTAATTATATGATGATTAAGTTGATGTGAACAAGGCTTGAATTGGCGGTCAACGACAACGTTGACCGATGGATGACGGATTAATTAATATCGGTTGATGTTAGTTAATTATACATTTATTTAAATGCATGGCTTTGCATGGATTGTGATACATAAGATTTATGTATTGGATTAGTTATGAGTAACTAAGGATGATATAGACTCTATCTAGGTTGATAGGAGGTTGATCATAGGAAAACTTGGTGGAGGACCCTAGTACTTAAAAAGTACTTAACACTCAAACTTGGTGGAGGACCCTAGTACTTAAAAAGTACTTAACACTCAAACTTGGTGGAGGACCCTAGGACTTAAAGTCCTTAACACTCAAACTTGGTGGAGGACCCTAGTACTTAAAAGTACTTAACACTCAAAACTTGGTGGAGGACCCTAGTACTTAAAAGTACTTAACACTCAAAACTTGGTGGAGGACCCTAGGACTTAAAAGTCCTTAACACTCAAACTTGGTGGAGGACCCTAGTACTTAAAAGTACTTAACACTCAAACTTGGTGGAGGACCCTAGGACTTATGAGTCCTTAACACTCACAAACCGGTGGAGTATCCAAGGATTATGATCCTAAAACTCATAGATTGTGATATACAAGTAGGGACAAGGAGGAGTCCTATACACTCATAGGTATATGGGTGGGTTGGGGTTTTTAGTCAAGAATATTGACTATTACTATTTTCCCGAATAAAATGGTGATCTACGGATCGGATATTTTCCAAGTATATATATACTAATAAGTATTTCATAACTTGGGGGAAAGATTATTTATTTAAGTATCACCCTATGTTTGGGTCTTATACTTAAAACGCTAGTTATTCTATATTTAGCCTGCTACTCGCTCGGTACTTGTACTGACCCCTTCGGGGGGCCCCACCATTTTCAGGTTGAAGCTAGAGCTTGCTACTTGCACCTTCTCACGGGTGATATCAAATCAGGGAGACGTGGTTCGTGCTTCCTTATTTTCTTTCAAACTACCGAACACTTGCTCATGGATATTTGTTTTACTACAAACTATTTTTGGGGGCTTGCATGCCCATGTTGTCGGCCGGTTGTGGCCCATGACTTACCGTTGAATATTTCCGCTATTCATTGGTTTAATGTGATGTTGTTATGTATGTTTACTACTGAGTATGGATGGATTGTTTTCTCGAACGCCTTGTGTAATTAAGTGAGGTTGACCCGTGGGTGACGTCACTTAGTTATACGGCGGTTGTACACGCGCTTGGATTGCGGTCTGGGGCGTGACAATTAAGTGGTATCAGAGCCATCTCAGTTCTAAACTATATAATCAACCTCTCACAAAAGAATTTGCAAAAAAGTTTTTACCGAAAACCATGAGCATTGTATTTTGACGTTTATAGGACTATTGGTGCTTAAGTTGCAAGGCCTCTAATTGTTAAGACGGTACCCTTAACAATTGGTATGGTAGTGACTTGGGCCAATACGTGTCTGTAACGTTCTTCCGTCAGTTGACATTTATAGGAGTCTAATGGCTCATCCATATTTCTTTCAGAAATAGAGGGCAGGCGAATGAGGACCAGGAACAATCCGAGGGGGCAGGCGCCGGTAGTATCCCAAAGGGGAAGCCGGGCTGCATCTCGGGGTTCGAGAGGAGGCCGTGGAGGCCGTGGAAGCCGTGGAGGTCATCAAGCTCAATCTGTGAGTGATGGCCATGTAAGCTCGGTGTATGAAACCAACACCGAGGACTATGACTCAACCTACGTTCCAGAAACGGAGCATGAGGAGACCCCGTATGATGGGGGGGACACATACACCGATGATGACGATGAGAGTGATGCCCGATTCGCCCAGATGGGTGAATTACTTGAGTGGTATCAAAAGGAGAAACTGAGGAGAGACCTTAGGAGCCAAGCGAGGCGTGGCTCTCGTGGTGGTTCGGGTCAAGGAAGCCGGGGAGCTTCCGTGGCCACCCCAGCGGCGTCACAAGGTGGGCGTGAAGGAGGTTTTGTTGTGAGAATCTCCAAGTACCTCAAGGAGGCTAGGGCCTTGGGGTGTAGGTCCTTTGACGGCACCGGTGACATTACCGTTGCCGCCGATTGGATTAAGAAGGTGAAGGATGCATCAAGAGACATGCAAATCACACCGGACGTGAAGTTGACTGTCGCTTCACGGCTACTTGAAGGGATAGCTTCTACGTGGTGGGAGAGCGTGGAAGGGAAGTACCATGGGGAAATAACATGGGCGGACTTTGAGCTAGAGTTCTATGCTCAATACTACTCCGAGTACGAGGTGAATGTGAAACGGAGAGAGTACACTAACCTCAAACAGAAAGAGGGCGGCACAGTTAAGCAACTGGAACAAGAGTTTAGAACCTTGGCTAGGTTCTTGCCGGAGTACGCGGTTGATGAGAACCGCATGACGGAGCACTTTTGGGATGCCCTACTCTTGGACATCCGTGACCGAGCTACGTACTCGCGCCACATGACCTTCAGTGAGGTGGTGGAGCAGGGCCTTCTCGGGGAGGCCCAATGGAATGAGAGAAAAGAGAGAGACGCCGAGGAGGCGAAAAAGAGGAAATGGCAAAGTTCGGGGCCGCCCGAACAAGCACGAAAGGATAAGCACGGTGGAGGTGGCGGTTCGTTCAAGACACCGGCACCACCGGCAAAGAAGAACAGGGATGCTCGGTGGCATGCATCCTCCTCACAAAGGACGGGGCCTCCAAAGTGTGCCAATTGTTCGAAAAATCATTTTGGGAAGTGCAATGCACCCCCAAGGTGTTATCAATGCGGGAACACGGGCCACATGAAGGCAAATTGCCCACAATTAGGGGGAGGAGGAGCTCCGGGATCCGGAGGAGGAACCATGACGGGAAGAAACCGTGCGGGACCGTCAAACGGCGGTACGGGAAGAGGCAACGCATCCACAAGTCATGCCGCGTCCGTAAATCAAGGCGGGACCCAAGCACGAGTGTACGCAATGACCGAGGCGGATGCACGAGCAAACCCGGACTCCGTTGCAGGTAATACACTTATTTTCCTGTATTTCTAGGCTTATTTGGGTCATATAAGTCATTGGGTTTGGGTGCGGGCCACCCCGGGGTCAAACCCCGCGAATTCGGGGCGAAACGGCTAAAAACAACTACGCGCGATCGCGCGTACCCACAGACGCACGACCGTGCGTGCGAAGCAGTAGCCCCTGGCCTTATTCCGCACAGACGCACGCCGTGCGTGCAGGTCAGGCACGCCGTGCCTGGGACGCACGATCGTGCGTGACCAGCTACGCACGATCGTGCGTAGCCGGCAGTGGCGGATCTCTGATTTTCAAGCACGCACGACCGTGCGTGCCACCCAGGCACGCCGTGCGTGGACCCCCCAACACCCGAAAATTGATTTTTTTCGCCCCGTTCTTCTACGTTTGGACCCCCGTTTGATTCCAAACATTAGTATGAACCTAATAACATCCTAATGATGTGTAAAAACCTTAGAAAATGTATCTTACATGGTGTATAAATGTAGGAACATTAAAGATCAATGGTAGGTGTGCGAGGATCCTCATCGATACCGGGGCACAACGCTCATTTGTGAGTGAGGCGTTCGCCGAGGGCCTTGACGTGCCATTGACACCTATGACGCAACCATTGCTAGTCTCCACACCGTTAGGAGACGACGTGGAGAGAAATCATTATTATCCGTCGTGCGAGGTAGAAGTGACGGGTCAACCTTTGACTTGTGATTTCGTACCTCTAAGCATGTTGGAGTTCGATGCAATCCTAGGAATGGATTGGCTCGAGAAACACCATGCTCGAGTAGATTGCTACACCAAGGTGTTAGAGCTCGAGGATGATCAAGGAAACACACTATGTTTCGAGGGAGATCGGGGGAAATCTAATGCTTGTATAATATCCGTGATGAGAGCACGGAAGATGATGAGGAAGGGATGCCACGCATACCTTGCCTACGTGGTGGACGATACCAAGAAGGAAGTCGACATCAAAGATGTACGGGTCGTGTGCAAATACCCGGATGTCTTTCCCAAAGACCTACCGGGGCTCCCACCCGATAGAGAGATAGAGTTTGTAATCGAAGTGGAGCCGGGAACCAAACCCATTTCGATTCCCCCTTATCGAATGGCACCGGCCGAACTCCAAGAGTTGAAGGTCCAACTACAAGAATTACTGGACAACGGGTTCATCAGACCCAGTCATTCACCGTGGGGGGCACCCGTACTCTTCGTGAAGAAGAAGGATGGTACACTAAGAATGTGTATTGACTACCGACAGTTGAACAAGGTCACAATCAAGAACAGGTATCCCTTACCGAGGATTGATGACTTGTTTGATCAACTTCGGGGGGCAATAGTGTTCTCAAAGATTGATTTGAGGTCGGGGTATCATCAGTTGAAGATCAAGGAGAGCGACATACCTAAGAGTGCATTCCGCACTAGGTATGGTCATTACGAGTTCCTTGTGATGTCATTTGGTTTAACCAACGCACCGGCAGCATTCATGGACTTGATGAACCGTGTGTTTAGTGAATACTTAGATCAATTTGTGATAGTATTCATTGATGATATCTTGATATATTCCAAGAGCGAGGAGGAGCACGAACATCATTTGAGGCTTATACTTGACCGGCTAAGGGAAAAGCAGCTCTTTGCCAAGTTCTCTAAATGCGAATTTTGGCTTAAGGAGATTGGGTTCCTTGGTCACGTCATATCCGGTTCGGGCGTTGCTGTGGATAACGCCAAGATAAAGGCTATCATGGATTGGGAGAGACCCAAGAATGTGAAAGAGATACGTAGTTTCCTTGGCTTAGCAGGATACTATCGTAAATTTGTTGAAAAAATTTCTGTATTGGCGTCTCCATTAACGAAGCTCACAAAGAAAGGGGCCAAGTTCATATGGGACGACAAGTGTGAGAAAGGGTTCCTTGAACTGAAGAAACGACTTACCGAAGCACCAGTCCTTGCCCTACCCATACAAGGGATAGGGTATGATATATACAGTGATGCTAGCATCCAAGGGCTTGGATGTGTACTGATGCAAAACGGTAAAGTGATTGCCTATGCTTCAAGGCAATTGAGAAAGCACGAGGTGAACTACCCTACCCATGACCTAGAATTGGGGGCGGTAGTGTTTGCACTGAAAATCTGGAGGCATTATCTCTACGGGGAGACATGTCACATTTTTACAGACCATAAGAGCTTGAAGTACGTATTCACTCAGAAAGAGTTGAATATGAGACAGAGGAGATGGATGGAGTTGATCAAGGACTATGACTTGATCATCGATTACCATCCAGGAAAGGCCAACGTCGTGGCCGACGCACTGAGCAGAAAGAGTACGTCGGGGACGCTACTCACATGCCTACAGGCATTGAGGGCGCGCGTGGAGGTGTCCACGTGCGGGGCTCTCATTGCTCGATTCGAGGTTAGGCCCACCCTATTGGGCGAGATTAGTCGAAGTCAGGCCATTGATGAGGAATGTCAGAAAATCCGCGAACGGATCCTTGAGGGGCCCGTCGAGAATTTTCGGGTACGTGATGACGGTCTTTTACTATTTAAGGATCGTGTGTGCATACCAAAGAATGAGGAGCTCCAGAGAGCTATACTTGAGGAGGCTCATTCTTCAGCATATGCCATGCATCCAGGGGGTACTAAGATGTACCGAGATCTGAAGGAAAGTTACTGGTGGTCAGGCATGAAAAAGGATATTGCAGAGTTTGTGAGTCGATGCCTTACTTGCCAGCAAGTTAAGGCAGAGCATCAGCACCCAGCAGGGCTCTTACAACCACTCACCATCCCAGAGTGGAAGTGGGAACATGTGACCATGGACTTCGTGGTGGGGCTGCCACGAACAGTGAACAACTACGATGCAGTATGGGTAGTGGTTGATAGGCTCACCAAGAGTGCACACTTTCTGCCTATCAACATTACTTATCCCCTTGAAAGATTGGCCAAGCTATACACGGAGGAGATCGTGAGATTGCATGGAGTCCCAATATCCATTGTCTCGGATAGGGATCCACGATTCACATCCCGATTTTGGCCAAAGTTTCAAGCATCTTTGGGGACTAAACTGAAGTTTAGCACAGCTTTTCACCCACAGACGGATGGACAGTCCGAGCGGGTGATACAGATTCTGGAAGACATGCTTAGGGCATGTGCTTTGGAGTTCCAAGGAAGTTGGGACAAGCATTTGGCTCTAGTGGAGTTTGCTTATAACAACAGTTATCAAGCAAGTATCGGCATGCCTCCATATGAAGCATTGTATGGGAGGAAATGCAGAACACCGTTGTGTTGGGACGAGGTTGGCGAGGCCAAACTCGAAGGGATAGAACTGGTTGAGATCACCAAGGCCAAGGTAAGGATCATTCGGGATAGACTGAAGGCCGCTCAGGACCGACAGAAGAGTTATGCTGACAAACGGCGGAGACCGTTGGAGTTCGAGGTCGGTGATGAGGTTTTTCTAAGGATTTCTCCTTGGAAGGGCATCATCCGATTTGTATCGAGGGGGAAGCTTAATCCCCGATACATTGGTCCATTTGAAATCCTTGAAAGGATTGGAGCTGTGGCTTATCGTCTCAAGTTGACGCCGGAACTTGAGAAGATACATGATGTGTTTCATGTATCAATGCTCAAGAAGTACATACGGGATCCCTCTCATATTCTTGAGAAACCGCCAGTAGAGATCCGTGAGGATTTGCAATATGCGGTAGAGCCGGTGAAGGTAGTTGGTCAACAAGTGAAGAAACTTAGGAACAAGGAGATTCCTATGGTAAAGGTTCTTTGGAGGAGTGATCGAGTCGAAGAGGAAACTTGGGAGACCGAGGCCTCAATGAGGGAGCAATACCCATTCCTTTTCGATTAGACACTTGGATTTCGGGGACGAAATCCCAAATAAGGGGGGGTGAACTTGTAACACCGTCCCCAAACATATTTACTTTTATGTAAATAATGTATTGAACCTTACTAAGGGATTAATGAATTTACGAAGTTGTAAATTTTTATTATTTCTTTCGCGTGAATAGTAAATTGCACGTGGGACCCACACCGGGAGCGGAGGCCGCCCGACATTCCCGAGACCACATATTTTATTCATCTTGGTCTAGATAATAAATATATAGTGGTGGATATTTCATTTGGGCCATGGAAAGGCCCAGAGTTGACCGATCGATCAATAGAAGCCCAAATTACCGGTACTGGTAAATTAACGAATAACGGCCCGAACTGAATTTCGGAGACTTATAAATTAAAGTTGGGGAATGTATATTCATTATACATGTCATAATGAGTAAGAGCACATAATATATTTTATTTGACCCGATAAAATAAAATATATTTAAAACAGTCCGAAAAATACAACTTTCGGGACCGATTGTACACACCGGGACACAAAGGGATGACCTCCCACATGAGTGGGGGCCACCCCACGTTTTTTTGTGGGCTGTGAGAGGAGGGGAGGCTGGCTGATTGGAGAGGAGGGGTGTGGGAGTGGTTGACTTGAGGGGATTGGCATCAAAAGGACACATGGGGGGTCCTTGCCATGTTATCATGGTGGAATAAGCCAAAAGTTGGCATTTCCTCTCACCCCCACCCTCATTTTCGGCCAAGGCTCATCAAGAGGAGAGGAAACCCCCTGCAAAATACATCCTCCATATCCAAGAACAAAGCCCAAGCAATAGGAGTCCAAGGAGGAAGATTATAGAAGAAAAAAGGCTAGGAAAAGGTGTGAAAACTAAGGTAAGAACCTTATCATAACTTTTTCTTTATTTTTCTCCTACCATATGAGATACATATCATGTGAAGGATCCTCAAGAGGGTTCTACATGTTATAAGTATGGATTAATGGGTTGGAAAGTGATTCTATGTCCAAGAACGGACTTAGAAGCCAAAACGACCGGTTCACCGGAAAATAACCTTTTTGAGGTTATTTGTATTAACATGGGTTTTATGATTATAAAACCTTGTTAGGAACTTGTAAAGGGTATTTCATGTGATTTCACAAGGTTGGAAAAGTCGCCGGAGTAGTCGCCGGAGTTGACCAAAAGTCGCCGGAGTTTCACCGGAGTTCAACCAAGAAGAGTAGAACTTCATAACGCTAGTTCAAGGTGAGTGGACGGCTTAATATCTTATAACTTTTGGGTTAATTATGAGATTACCTAAATAAATGTTATATGTTTTCAGAATGATGTTTAAAAGATAATTAAACATGTGATTAGCCAACATTATCAAGTTGTATGAAAAGAATTAATTGATTATGCATGAAATATGATATGAGAGATTATATAAAATGCACATTAGCTTGAAGTGTAAAAGAAGCTCAAATGAGTATTATTGACTTAATTATATGATGATTAAGTTGATGTGAACAAGGCTTGAATTGGCGGTCAACGACAACGTTGACCGATGGATGACGGATTAATTAATATCGGTTGATGTTAGTTAATTATACATTTATTTAAATGCATGGCTTTGCATGGATTGTGATACATAAGATTTATGTATTGGATTAGTTATGAGTAACTAAGGATGATATAGACTCTATCTAGGTTGATAGGAGGTTGATCATAGGAAAACTTGGTGGAGGACCCTAGTACTTAAAAAGTACTTAACACTCAAACTTGGTGGAGGACCCTAGTACTTAAAAAGTACTTAACACTCAAACTTGGTGGAGGACCCTAGGACTTAAAGTCCTTAACACTCAAACTTGGTGGAGGACCCTAGTACTTAAAAGTACTTAACACTCAAAACTTGGTGGAGGACCCTAGTACTTAAAAGTACTTAACACTCAAAACTTGGTGGAGGACCCTAGGACTTAAAAGTCCTTAACACTCAAACTTGGTGGAGGACCCTAGTACTTAAAAGTACTTAACACTCAAACTTGGTGGAGGACCCTAGGACTTATGAGTCCTTAACACTCACAAACCGGTGGAGTATCCAAGGATTATGATCCTAAAACTCATAGATTGTGATATACAAGTAGGGACAAGGAGGAGTCCTATACACTCATAGGTATATGGGTGGGTTGGGGTTTTTAGTCAAGAATATTGACTATTACTATTTTCCCGAATAAAATGGTGATCTACGGATCGGATATTTTCCAAGTATATATATACTAATAAGTATTTCATAACTTGGGGGAAAGATTATTTATTTAAGTATCACCCTATGTTTGGGTCTTATACTTAAAACGCTAGTTATTCTATATTTAGCCTGCTACTCGCTCGGTACTTGTACTGACCCCTTCGGGGGGCCCCACCATTTTCAGGTTGAAGCTAGAGCTTGCTACTTGCACCTTCTCACGGGTGATATCAAATCAGGGAGACGTGGTTCGTGCTTCCTTATTTTCTTTCAAACTACCGAACACTTGCTCATGGATATTTGTTTTACTACAAACTATTTTTGGGGGCTTGCATGCCCATGTTGTCGGCCGGTTGTGGCCCATGACTTACCGTTGAATATTTCCGCTATTCATTGGTTTAATGTGATGTTGTTATGTATGTTTACTACTGAGTATGGATGGATTGTTTTCTCGAACGCCTTGTGTAATTAAGTGAGGTTGACCCGTGGGTGACGTCACTTAGTTATACGGCGGTTGTACACGCGCTTGGATTGCGGTCTGGGGCGTGACAAATTTAACATTTGACAAAATATGAACATGTTTACATGTAAAATACTGGTTAAGACATTATAATTTATCATGAGTTTCACACCCAAACTGGTTAGTGCTAAATAATTAGTGTGGCCCATGACCTTATATTCGGTTCTAATCTCCTAATTTGTCTAGGGTCGCTCCCGATAATTTAAATATTTAACTACCTATTTTTTAACTTTTAAACGGACTATAACCAATTTTAAAATGTTTTCAATGGCTTTAATGAAAAAATGAACGTGGTCAAAACATGGGCTCCAATCCTGGTCCAAAAAGTGAGGCCTGAGGCCTCTTGTTCACCGATCTGGTCTCGATCCCAACCTAAAATCTTAATTAAAAAATCGGTCATTCTCGAGACCGGGCCTAGTCCTCCCCTAATATGAACCACAAAAGTAAGTACTTCTCATACAAATTGACAATAGGTAACAATAGTCTCCTAAAAGTCCTTCAACAACATCTGCTTTACGTATAAAATAACATTCCTCGTTATTAGACATCTTTCTCTCGTCAGAAAAGTTTCACCAAGATTTCTAGAATCTCAAATATATTTTTGAACTTTAAAAGTAACAGAGATTTATGGTTTTAAGCTCGTACCTTTCGATTGTGTCTGCTAAGTGTATAATTTTACTCACATGTAGATGTAGTTATGTACATTGTCAATAATAAGGGCTATTTCATTGGAAAGTACGCGTTCTTGCAAAAAAGTACTTTCTGGTGGAAAGATTTTGAATACAAGTAAATTTATTAATTATCAGGTTAAATATGCAAGTGAGTAAATTTATAAAACTGAATTTATACTATTTTTAAACGTAATTAAGAGTTATTAAACTTTCATTAAAGGAAAGGGAGGGGGGTAAGTGTATATTTTTAATAGTGCAAGGGTTTAGGTGATAATACGTGAAACCTCAAGTGTGGTAATAATTTCCCAAAAAAAACAAAAAAAAAACATAAAACCATATGACAAGGTGTGCCGGAAGTAATACTACGTAATAGTGTAGCAGGAAAAAATAAGATCTTAATCATAAACAAAATGAATAAGAATGGTCTTGTATTTTGTCAATTCATTTACCGTTTTAATAAATGCGTCTGTATCACAATTTCGACAATAATCACATTCTATGAAGGACATGATTGTAGCGATAAATTAAAAACTTTAAAACACTAGGATCAAGCAACGGTGAACAAATATGAGCGAGGGCAGCCTGAAAGTGATGAGATTCCAGACACACATGAAGAAAGGTTGTACATAGACACATAGTTACACAATGGAGAAATAAGTCAAATAACCATGATTCGTGCGAATCGGGATCCTCTTGTTGGGAGTGTTTCGGAAAATAAAGAAAATTAATTAAAATAAATTAATTAAAATGACGAAAGAAAAATAGAAATTAGATGGAGCAAATTTTAGCCAAAGCTCGTGTTACGCACGATGTCCTTAAAACGTATTCATCGTCTCTCACGGTGTTAGGAGTGTTGCAACGAGCGTTTCCCAGGATACGATGACTACGAACTAATGTTTGAGCACACAAACAAGAGTTCCAGCGAACGGAAACACAGTATGAACACTAAGAATATTTTCGGAATGCTGGAGGTGTTTTGGAGCTCAGAAATACGTGAGGAATGTGTATGAACGTGTGTTGTTGCAAACCACCTGCCAGCCATTATATATGATGATTTGTTGTGTGTTAATGGTGAATTAATGGACCTGAACGTTGGACATCAATGACCAGTCCGTTGGGTATTGAATCGTCCATGAAATGTCCATTTAACGCAGCATTGAAAGATAAGAATGTTGGGCATTAACTAGTATAACGGACCGGAACTGTTCTGGTGCGCGACCATAACACCCCCTAGGTCTACTGTCCGAGCAGTTCTGGCGCAGAGCAGAAGGGATTCTGTCCAAGCACTTATGGTTCTGAGAAAAAATAAAACGTTACGGGATGAAACAAAATTAAACCGGGCTAAAGGGTCAAACAGGTACATGAACTAACTTAAAGTGTTCAATTAGCCCCTTATATAGGAGGTTCTGTCCGGCCGTTGCCAATTGGGGCGGTTCCCGGAGGAATTTTTTAATGAAATTTTTTTAGCAACTTCTTCATTAAGTCTAGTTTACCCATACCAAATTTCAGCTAAAATTTCAATCGGGAAAACAGTCAAATGATTTTTTGAAGATAACAACGCAGTTAAACATCGCAGTACATTTCAGAATCTTAACTCTTTAAAGGGGTTTCCCTTTATAAAGGGTTGCAAATCCCTTGAGTTTTCCGGTGTGGGAAATAACACACTAGAAACGCATCCTTTTTCCTAGTTTTTCCATTCCAACGAGCAAATTTCGAGAATCAATTTCTCATTCACCCGTTATCCGTTTTGAGCGTACCATATATCGAATTGTAGCCCTTAGCATGGACAATCCGAAACCACTTTGACCCGACCCAAATCGGAAGTGGACCCCACTCAAAAAATTGCCCCAAAATTACCATTTAATGCAATTTTAACACATTTTTCCAACACCTCTACCTTAAGGTAGAGGATCATGGACTGTAGGATCACAAGATGTGTCTCTAGATTCATGAAAAAGTGACTTCCTTCATATTCTATAGTTATTTTTTAATTCGGTGACTGTTAACGATTAAACACCCTCCTTGAACCAAAGTAAGGCAGGGACGCCGGATCCTGATTCGGCCTAGATGAATAAGGTGAAACTTTAGCGGAAGGGGTGAGTAAAATCCCGGTGACCCTACACAATTAGGCCCGAGGGCAGAGGGGCGTATAAAAGAAAGATAGGCCCCTTCCGGATAGGCCATTGATATGGGCTGCTATTGTGTGTGAATCACCTACTCAAGGCCGTCACATCACCGCCACATCACCCTGGAGGATGAGAAGGCTTTTTTAAACATCAAGTGAAAAACAGGCTTGATAATAATTTATTGGATAGAACATATTAACACTCACAAAGTCACAACACATTAATGCCTTGACTGTATACATTTCGAAGTGTATGATCCATATAAAGTAACCCCGAAAGCAAAACAAAAAATTCCACACAAAAAGTTTGAGGGAAAATGTTCCTGATTCCTCAATCAGTAGTGCCATAGATGACCAGACCTGAGTTCAGTAACACCTTAATGGTATCCAAGAGGAGCTGGAGAATCCTTAAGTTGTTGTCCCTGGTAATGAATATCCTGCAACCATTTCCCCAAATCGGTCATACTCCGTATATTATAAACATTATTATCCTTTTTCATAAATACGTAGTACAATAGGTAGCCGAGAAGCAAAATAAGCGTGAGAATCGCTCAACGAGTTAAATACTAACAAAATAAAATAATCACCAAGAGCCCATTTAGTAACTAAGATTGGTTGGAGATTCTAAATGCACAATTGAAATTGCAATTGATAAAGTTGGAATATGCTCGCTCTCAAGAGAATAACTTTAATCAAAATAAGTACGGAGTATATCTGTATATGTTAATAGTTAATACCAAAAGTAAAGAAAAAGTTTATGAAAAATTAAAATTACCAACTAAAGAAAATTCACCAAAAAATAGAGTGTCTTACTCATTTCGATTATAATTCAGTGTGTGAAGTAAATTATTTAAGAGTTAAAAGACCTGGTTTAAAAGAAGAGTCACCCAAACTAAACTAAATACAGTGTAGTAAATATGGTAAGTGAGATTTAATAATTTAGTGTACTTGAATCTAGTGTGGCATAGATTGATTTGTATAAGTCAAGTCAAGTCTAATATGCTCTCATCTATTTCGTTCAAATTTATTCATATCTGGTCTTATATATGTTTAAATATAATCAAGTTTGAT